CTGAGATCCAGGCCAGCCTGGTCTACACAGTGAGTTCCAGGCCAGCTGGGGCTACAGGGAGACCCTGTCTCAAAAAGACAAAACAAACAAACTACCACCACCACCAATCTCCTTTGACTGTGATTTTTTTTTTTTAGGCCTGAGGCTTCATTTTCAGTTTTGTTTGCCCTGTTTCCTACACTATAAGGATTGGGGATCTTGTCAACCCTTAGAGAGCTCAGCAGTCAGGCTGTGTGATATTACACTGTATTAGGGGCCTCTGGAGGAACAGAACCAACAGAATGATTATATATACGTCTCGTAATTTATATATATATATATATGGCAGTCAGGCTGTGTGATATCACACTGTATTAGGGGCCTCTGGAGGAACAGAACCAACAAATGATTATATATACGTCTCGTAATTTATATATATATATATATGTAAATTACAAGGGAGATTTGTTAAACTGGCTTACATCATATGGGCTGGGCACAATCTGGAGAGGCTGAGGACCCTGTAGCAATTCAGCCCAAAGGCTGGGTGCCTCAACAGTCCCAATCTGGCACTGATGGCCTCGAGGGTTCCTGGAGAGCTGCTGTTCTCAGTCAACAACAGAAGGTGGAGAGTCTGGGTTCTGATGTCAGCAAAGGATGGGGGCAGCAGCAGCCCAGGGTAGATGAGCTCACCAGCAGGCAGTAAAGGAGGACAGGCCAAAAGCAACAGCTTCCCCTCAGACCGCCTCACACCTGGGCCACCCAAAGGTGTCGCCCACTCTGGGGAAGGGTCATTCCCCCTCTGTTAATCCTTCTAAGAAATACCCTCACAGACTTGCCCAGAGATCTGCCTCTTAGTCCATTCCAGATCCAGTCAAGTTGACAACGAAGATCAACTATCACATACACACACACACACACACACACACACACACACACACACACACACAGCTCCTGCTGTTTGTACACAAGGCTTGGCCACTTGTGCCTCAGTTTCCCTGTCTGTAGATTGGCGCTCACCCAAATGCCATGACTGTTGTGAAGGCTGGATGACCACACTGGCCAAATAGTTTGCATAGGGCACTGTGTGTCCATGAGGGAGCTGGGCTGGAGGAGGGACTTTATGTCAGTGAGCCAGCTCTCACTCCCAGAGGGAGAGCTGCTGGGAGCATGCCCTCCCTCCCTGAATCCTGGCTTTGGTTCCCCAGAGCAGCAGGTGGCCCAGGACACAGAGGAGGTCTTTCGAAGCTATGTTTTTCACCTTCACCAGCGGGAACAAGAGACCCAGGGGGCAGCTGCCCCTGTTGACCCTGAGATGGACACCTTGCCCCTAGAACCCAACAGGTGAGCCCAGCCCCAGGGGGCACTGGGGAAGCCCTTGGGGTCTCATCTCCCCCTCATTGCTTCTTTCTCATCCTGGGTTCTCACTCCCATCTGAGATCCTAAACCCTTTTCAGGACATACTTGACCCTTGTCCTAGGGGCAGCCCTTCTGTCCAAAACACTGCCAGGGACCTTCAGAAAGGGGTGTTGAGCACACACTGGGGTCTCCCTGGGAGAACCCCACTGCCACAAATTCGGTTCCCAGCACTCACTGTGCACCCACTGACTCCTGTCCCCACAGCATCCTGGGGCAGGTGGGTCGGCAGCTAGCCGTCATTGGAGATGATATTAACCGACGCTACGACTCGGAGTTCCAGAGCTTGCTGGAGCAGCTGCAGCCTACAGCCAGCAACGCCTATGAACTGTTCACCAAGATTGCTTCCAGGTACCCACTCAATCGTTCTAGCCTGCGCCCATGGGGTGGACACTCTAGCTAGGGAAGTGCCTGAGCTAACTCACACATGATCCCATCCTGTCTCCCTCTCTCTGGGCCCCACTCACCCTCTTGTGCATGAACGAACTCATGCCTCTTAGGAACTCTGGTACCAAGGCTGAGTGCCCTAGGGTAGGGGAGTCCCAAGAGCTTCCAAGCCCAGCTGGGACACACTGAAGATGTTTGGGCTGCCAACCTCTGTCGGGTCAGTTGCTATTTACTAGCATCTAAGAGGCCACCTGGTGCCGAAGATAAAAACTCCACATACGGCTCACATCACATCCCAGCTTACCATGTACCATCACAGTGAATGTCCTAACCCTCACTGCTTGCTGGGAAATAGGGAAAAGGGAAAGTAGGTTAAAGTGATGTTCTCGCTTTCAAAGCATTCATCGTTGGTTTGGGGGTTTTTTGTTGTTGTTTTTGAGATAGGAGCTAATGTAACCCAGGCTAGCCTTCAATTCACGATCTCCTGCCTCAGCCTCCCGAGTGCTGGGATCACAGGCGTGCAACAAGTATAGCTAGACTCACTGTCCTTTCTCTGAGCTAGGGAGCTAGATCCACCTTGTCAGGGTGTATCTGAAGGCGGCAGAGGAGGTAGGAGTAGGTGACAGGTTTAGAATGAGTGCTAAGAGCTGACATGTCCCACCCCTCAGCCCGCCCGCATGCCCCCATGTCCCTGTGAATCCAGGATCTCTCCTAATCTTCTCTATCCTTTCCTTTCTGCTGTCCCCCCGGGCTGCCAGGCCAGCAGCAACACCCACAGGTAATCTCCCTGCTGCCTCAGTCTGCTCACTTTGCCCTCTCTGGGCCCTCAGCACCCTCAGGAGCCACACACCAGCAGTAGCACCCAGCTCTTCACCCTCTGAGCTTTCTCTTTGCATAGAGACCCAGCTTTTCCCAAATGGAAGTCAGGCCAAGGCAGACTCTGCCGCCTGCACTCACAGCTCAACCATTTAGCTTCCTGGCTGGGAGAGGTTGTGGAGGGAGGAGGGACCCGAGGAGAGGTGCTCTCCACTGACCTATGGAACCCTCTACCGACAGTCTATTTAAGAGTGGTATCAGCTGGGGCCGTGTGGTGGCTCTCCTGGGTTTTGGCTATCGCCTGGCCCTGTATGTCTATCAGCGTGGTTTGACCGGCTTCCTGGGCAAGGTGACCTGCTTTCTGGCAGACATCATACTTCACCATTGCATCGCCCGCTGGATTGCACAGAGGGGCGGCTGGGTGAGTGCCTGGGCGTTGGGATATCCTCTCTGTATGGAGGCTGCACCCACCTGCTCCAGTGTGGCAGTCCCTCTGTAACCTACCCTATCTCTCCTGACAGGTAGCAGCCCTGAATTTTCGCTGCAGAGACCCCGTCCTGACTGTGATAGCAATTTTGGGCGTGGTTCTGGTGGGCCAGTATGTGGTACAAAGATTCTTCAGATCATGACTCCTGGAGGGGGCCCTTTGGGGTCCCATCCAAGACCCCTGCCTGGGCTTTGGCCCCAACTTCCCACTCCCCTCTCCCCTGAAGCTGCCTCCCCATTCTTCCAAGAGTACAGAAGCTTTAGCAAACAGGCACCCCAGCTTTGGAGACACCTTCCCAGGGGTCATCCAGGCAGTCATGGGTACCCCAACATTGCATGGTGCTAATGGGCTCCCTTTCTGGGCCCCATCCTGTCAGAGAGGGGCTGATACTTTGGGAGGTAAGAGGCTGGGGACCACTTCCTCCTAGGAAGTTTTTAATGGTTTTAGCTTTTTATGATACCCTTTGGAGACAACCCCCACCCTTTTTCTTCCACTATGCCCTAAATCAGGACACTGAGAGTTTGGGGATCAGTGGGTCTAACCTGTGTTCCCAGGACTCAGCTACTTTGGGAGGTCAGAGCTTGAGCCCAATCCCTGCTCCTCCCTGGTTCCCAGGAACAGGACTGGCTGGGGGAGGCGGGGGAGGCACCAACTGATCAGCTCCCTGATTCCCACTCCCTACCCCATATTGCCTTCATGACTGGATTCTCAGGGATTCTGAGCCCAGGGTTAGGGTGGAGGTGAGAGGCCCTCCAAGCCTGCTCCCCTTCCCAATATCTTCTCTGTTTTCACCCATCCCCTCACCTGATAACCACTGCTTCCAGCCCTGGGGAAGACCCTTGCCCACTCCCCACTCCTGCCTGCTGGGGCCCCCCTTTGACTGATTGTACAGCCTTGGACTCCTATTTGTTATGACAGGGGAGGAGGGTGGGACACTCATCTGGAGGTGTGGAAGCAAGGAAGGACCACCATCAGTGGAAGTGATCATGGAGCTGGGTGCAGCGTGACCCCTGGGAACTGTGAATACTTGAACTCCACCATACCCACACTCCTTGCCTGCCTAGGCCCTCCTTGGGTGGGGTGGGGTGGGGGTGCCTTCTCTATCTTGCACAACATAAGGGTAAGGAGAAGAAAGTTCCTGATTATCCCAAATGCAGGGAGGGGAGGCAGATGCTGCCCAACCTCCATCCCACCCTCTGGCTGTGTTTGGAAATAAACTGTGCAATCCCCCCCTCACCCTCCTGGCATTTTTGCACACTGCTACCTCTCTTAGGCTGGTGTCCTTCTTAGCTTTCTATTGCTGGCCAAAACCAACGTGGGGAAGAAAGGGTTTATTTGGCTTACAGCACATAGTCCATCATTGAGAGAATCCAGGGCAGGAACTCAAGGCAGGAACCTAGAGACAACAATTGAAGCAAAGACCACAGAGGAACTCTGCTTACTGACTTGCTCCTTGGCTGGTGCTCAGCCTGCTTTCTTATACAACCCAGGACCACCTGCCCAGGGGTGGCACCACCCACAGTGGGCAGGACCCTCCCACATCACTCAACAATCAAGAAAAGGCCTGAGAGACGTGCCCACAGGCCAGTCTGATAGGTAAAATGCTGCAATTGTGGGTCCCTCTTCCCAGGTGTCAAGTGGACAACTAAAGTGAACCTGGAGAGCTGGACACACTGGCAAACTCCCAGATTCAGATCACACAAGTCCTCACACTGAGAGTCCAGAATCCTCAAATCAGTGTAATTGCTGTGGGATGAGAAGGGCTCCAGCCAGCCCCTGTGGGAGCCCACCAATTCTTTTTTTTTTTTTTCCTTTTTGAGACAGGGTCTCCTTGTAGCCCCAGCTGTCCTGGAACTCACTATGTAGACCAGGCTGGCTTCAAACAGAGATCTGCCTGCCTCTGCCTCCCTCCCAAGTGCTGGGATTAAAGACATGTACCCCCATGCCCAGCTTCCCACCAATTCTTTAGCCCTTTCTCTCGTTCTTTAAAAAAAAAATTGACCTAATTTATTATTGTTTACATGTATGTATGTGGGTGTGCATGCCAAGGTGTGTGTGGAGGTCAGAGGACAACAGAAATTATTCTCTTCTACCATGTGGGTCCTGGGGCTTGGGACTGAACTGAGGTCATCAGGCTTGGCAGCGGGTGCCTTGACCCTCCTGAGATTTCTTCCTGGTGCCCCACCCCCACCTTGTTCTCATTTCTTCGCTTTCCAGGCAGTCTTCCATTCCAAGGAAGTGGGCGCCCCGTTGGCTGCAGAGTTGATGGAGTAGCTAGGCCATTCTGAGGATACCCCCCCCACAGGCCACCTCCCACACTGGCAGGAACACAATGTCCTGGCTCCCCCTTCCCCATGTCCCTACAGCCACACACACAGGGCTTTTTTGACTCTAGAAGTTTTTGTACTGTATTGGAGTCCTTACAGAGAGGCAGCCAGGGGTGATAAAAATAATAAGCTGGGGGCGGTTGAAATGTTCCAAAATCCACAGACTTTTTTTTAACCCAGTCCTGGGCACCCTGGTCTGTATTTCGAACAGACACACACACACACACACACACACACACACACACACACACACACACGAAACTATTACGTGTCATACCCAGAGAAGCCGGGTGAGCTTCTCTTTCACTGCCCGGGGTTGGCTCTCTGAGCCCTCCCACCTCCATGGCTTCGGTGTGCACCCAGGTGCTGGAGGCTGCCAGGGTGGTTGCTGTGAGGCGCTTGGCAACAGCCGGGCAAAGCTGAACGCCAACAGTTAAGGCCCTGGGTGCCAGGTTCTATGCTGGGAATTTCTTTGCAATACTTAAACAATACGTGGTGGGTGGACGCGTGCACCCTCAAACTCCCACCTTGCAGAAAAGCAGGTGCCTTTCCAGAGTCACCCCGGATAACAAGGTGCATTGAGCTAAACTTGCCTCAAGCTTTTACCTGACGGCAGGAGGAGAGGGTCGGTGGCCAGCCACGGATTTAGGAGGACTCTGCAGCCACCGCGGCAGCACGGGCTGGGAAGCTACAGGAGAATGTGCTGCCCAAGTCCAAGATGGCCGCCTCAGCTTCACACGCAAACGCCAACGTAACCCTTTGTGGGCGGGGCCTAGGTGCTGCCTCTTCCCAGACCCTCTGATTTGAAAGAGAACCTCAGCTTGAGGTCTCGCGCAAGGAAGCAGGTCATTTACATCTTCAAGGGAGGTGGGCACCAAGTTTGGGGCTTTGCCTTGTCTGGCCAACTCCTACATCCATTTTTTTCTCCTAACAAGATGAAGTTCCTCCAAACCTAACTTCAGAGCTGCCAAAATCAGGGGGTGAGACGTTAGGAGGGGCCGAATAAGGAATAAGCTGAGGACGCAGGGGCACAGATGGGCCCTGCAGGTGCCACGGTTAAATCGGGAGCATGCAGTCCTACGCCTCAATATTACGTTGTTTCCACCAAATACAACTGGATTTCGTGAGGCTACACAGCGAGTTTAGGCCAGCCTGGGCTACACCAGACCCTGTCTCCAAATAACAAAATCAAAAAGCACATTAGGTCACTAGGTGTCCATCCATTTTTAATTTGAGAAACCCTCCCTTTGCCCAAATCACAGTGGTGCAAACTTCATATGCAGAGGCCCCTGATCCCAGACCTGAGAAGGCAGAGATAGGTGGGTCCCTGGGACTTGTTGGGAAGCTCCCTTAGCTACTTAGTAAGTTCAGGACAATGAGAGACCCTGTCTCAAAAAACCAAGGTGGGAGCTGGAGAAATGTCTCAGCAATTAAGAGCACATAGCATATTGCTCTTGCAGAGGACCTGAGTTCAGCTCCAAACACCCACATCAGCACCTCACAACCCCCTATGATTCCAATCCCAAGGGATCCAACGCCCTCTTCTGTCCTCCACAGGCATCTACACTCATGTGCATATACCTACATAGATGCACAAAATTTAAAAATAATTGGGCCAACAAGATGACTCAGTGGGTAAAGGCTCCTACCACCAAGCCTGATGACCTGAGGTTGATCCCTGTGACCCTCCCACATAAATAAATTAAATAAATAAATATTGTAAAATAAATAATAAATATTGAGGGGACTGGAGAGATGGCTCAGCAGTTAAGAGCACTGACTGCTCTTCCAGAGGACCTGGGTTCTGTTCCCAGCACCCACATGGTGACTAAGAACTATTTGTAACTCCAGTTCCAGGTGATCCAACGCCCTGGTCTGGCCTCCACAGGCATTGTACATACATGGTGCACTTACATACATGTAGGCAAAACACTCACACATAAACTAAAAATAAACATTTTTTAAAATCACGCATGGTTAGATCCATGAGACATATTTACATGCCTAAGACTTTTTCTCATTTGACTTGTAAATCTATCCTGTGAGGAATTTGAAGAACTTGGGGAAAAAAAAAGTCAAGTATGTTACATTTGTAAATATAGTTTAAATATTTACAAGAACTTAATTAGCTAAGTTTGTAAACGCTATGGAAAATGTTCAAGCAATTAATATGTCAAGTCCACAGGCTAACTGAACACTAATCAAAGAGCAAGTTATTAGTCTTACTTTTATATAAACTGTACAGGAATTCTAAATAGAACATTAGGACATGCAAGTTAAACTTAAGAATTCAGGAACGTCTACTTCTAAAGTTACTATTTTATTATTTATTTAGTTTTGTTTTTTTGAGAAAGAGTCTCATGTAGCCCAGGTTGACTTTGAACTTGCTGTGTTGCCAAGGATGACCTAGAATTCCTGATCCTCTTGCTCTAATATAGATGGGCCACCAACCCCAAGAACAGACACCCCCCCCCGCCAATGCCTACAAGAAAAGCTTTGTACCAACTAGGCTATATCCCCAGCTGTTTTTGCTGTTGTTCATTTTGGTTTCCTTTTTATTATTAATTTTGAGATAGTCTCACTCTTGTGGCTGTCCACACTGAGGCATATTGCACAGATCAGAAGACAACTTCCAAAGTCAGTTCTCTTCTACCATATGTGTCCCTGGGATAGAGCTCAGGGTGTCAAGGGAGGCAGCACTGTCGAACTCCGTTAAGCAGTGGGAGCTGGCCTGGAACTCCAGATCATTCTGCCCTCAGCCTCTCCTCTGCAGTATCAGTGCATCGACTGACTGAGCACACAGAGAACTTATGTTGGAGCGGCGCCTCTGCAGTGGTGGTCTATGCTGCTCTCCCAGCCTTGCACATCCTGTCCCCGTGTTGCGCACTTCCCACGGAAGTGTCAGGAGCTTATGAAAGTGTCAGAAGAGATCCATATACATATCCATAGTAAGCAATCCTCCCCTTTATTCATTTAATGTAGCTGACCTTTTATTTAACTTTTTTTTGGGGGGTCTTTTTTTGAGACAGGGTCTCCCTGTAGCCCCAGCTGCCCTGGAACTCATTGTGTAGACTAGGCTGGCCTTGAACTCACAGAGATCCACCTGCCTCTGCCTCCCGAGTGCTGGGATTAAAGGCATATGCCATCACGCCTGGTTTAAAACTGTATTTTAAAAGAAAGAATGGGGTCTGGGGAGATGGCTCAGTTATTAAGCGCACTGGCTGCTCTTGCCAGACTAGGTCTTGGCTGGTTGGATAAAAACCTTCCTCCTGCCCTTTGTGCATTGTAGTCTGATCTGTCTCTTGGACTGAAATCTTCCCCTGGCCCATTTATGCCCATGTGTTCTTTTTCATTTGGGGGTTTTTGAGACAGGGTCTCCCTGTAGCCCCAGCTGGCCTGGAACTTGCTATGTAGACCAACCTGGCCTCAATCTCACAGAGATCCACCTGCCTCTGCTGGGATTAGAGGTGTGCACCACCACACCTAGCGCTTATGTGTTCTTACTGTCTCCAGCTTTAGTGACAGCTACTCTGCAAGGCACAATTCCAAGCACGTACCTGTCTGCAACCTCAGGAGGAGGTGCTTTTGTTAGTTGCATTTTATAGGTAACAAAATTGCCAACAAGAATTAACTAAAGAGGCTGGAGAGATGGCTCAGTGGTTAGGAGCACTGGCTGGTCTTGCAGAGGGACCCAGATTTGATTCCCAGCACCCACATGGCAGCTAACAACTATCCATAACTCCAGTTCCAGGGGATCCGACTCCCTTTTCTGGCCTCCGCAGGCAATACACTCACACACATAAAATAAAAATAAATAATTTTTAAAGTGTTAAAAATAAACTGGACATTTTGACGTACACCAGTAATCCTAGTATTCAGGATGCTGAAGCAGGAGAATTGCTATGAATT